TTTGTTATGACTGGTACTTCAATGACTTCGAGATTTATGGATTTTTCAGGGTCATTAATATTTCGGAGCGTAAGTTCAACTTTCTTTCGACGCCAATGTTTCCCGTTCTTTTCACCGAAGGTATGCAGATTTAAAACAGTTTCTCCTTTCACTGGTAACTGTAATTTTCTTGATAAATCTTCTCGAATTGCAGAGATTTGGCTACCGCCGTCAAGAAGACATCTCACAATACAAGTTCTTATTTCTGCCCTCAGCCACAGCATACACCGTTTGAAGCATAATATTAGATCCAGTTTTGGCAGAAGAATTTTGAACAATTTCCGCCGATGTTTCGGTTTCCTTATTTTTTACACTGGAGACAGCTGATGTGGGATTTACACACACACTTTCATGATGTTTACCGCGGCACTTTTTGCAGGAGGAAAACTGTTTGTTCTTACAGTTGATAGCTAAATGTTTACATCCAAAACACAGAAAACATTTTCCTGTACGTTTCAAAATGTTGCGTTTCTCTTCAGAGTTCACCTCAGTACATTTATATTTCGTATGATCTTCTTTGTCACAAAATATACATTTGTATCCAATTGTTGATAAAGCTGAAGCAGTCGGAACTTTCGGTTTATAATTCGGATAAACTTTCGTGCGTTGTTCATTTTGACGAAAGTATGGTTTCTGATTCGTTTTCGCAGAGTTCATTAAACTTGCAGCTTCTCGACAGTTAACTTCCTTTTTTAAGAATTCTATAAGTTCCTTTATATCAAATCCTGCTTCCATATTTCGACTTCGATTAAATTCCAAATTTAATTCCTCTGGAAATTTCTGCAAAATGATAGGACAGAGAATATTTCCATAACTTCCAGAAGTAACGTTTAACGATCCTAAACTTCGAATGTTGACTTCGCATTCATCGTACAGCTTATGCAGTGCTTTAACATTTGAAATGTTTCCCACTGGTTCAAGGGATAATAATTTATTCATATGCGAGGTGATAACAACATCTTGTCTTCCAAAACGTTCTTTCAATATTTCTACTGCGGAATCATAATTCTGGTCACTTAAAGCGAAACCGGAAATGGCAGCTAAAGCATTACCTCCAAGTAAGGATTTTAGGTACGCAAATTTTTCAGTTTTTCTCAATCCACTATGATTATGAATTGTATTTTCGAATTGGTTCCAAAAGTCTAACCATTTACACGAATCTCCGTAATAAGTTCCGATTTGCAGACGTGGCAACTTCACTGTTTTCGTTTCAACTGGAAGTGCAACATTAGCCGTTTCGTTCTGATGAACTGTTCTAGAAGATTCCGAATTCTTCTTCAAAAATCGTTGCATTCTTCCTCTCCATATAACAGTTTTATCCTGGTATTCTTGACTTAAGGTAACTTCATTTTCAATCTCCTCCGAAGTTACTTTCGTTTCTATTTCTGAATCTAAAATTTTCAGTTCATTGATTTTCTCAATTAACTGTTCATATAAATCCTCGATTATCTCAATTTTCTCATTTAGCGGAATATTATTTGCTAAATTCGATTCGACTTTGGTTATCAGTTTCGTAGTTAATTGTCTTAACAACCGATCGTTTCTTTTTCAAATTTTCAAGAACGCCCTCCATTTTCGAAATATTCAGTCTGTCGATTTTCTGGTTCGTAATAATCCCGGTTTGCAGGCACCATAAACAAAATATGTGTAAATCTCTAATAAATCAGACTGGATCGCAGTTAAAGTAATAAACAGAGGAGCGTTCTTCCACACAACATTTATTCACGAACACCAAAGACGAAAACTGATACATATACATAATTGACATCACAGTTTTTTTACAAACAAACACTACCGCCATCTATTGGCGATCTATGGATACACAATCCTAAACTTAACACCAAGAGACTTCTGCCTATACATTTGAACCAGTTAAGCGCTTGGCCCCTCAAAGCGCTGGTAGCTAAGGTGACTTTTTGGAACTCGTACACGGGATACATCATGAAGTGGTCCTCCAATTTTTCCAAAAACTTGGTTACCGGTGAGTTTCCATTAAATGTTGCTTCTGGTTTCATCGAAGCGCGCATGGTCTGGACGATGTAACCAAATTCTTCCAGGGCGGCAGCTGGCATTTCTGGATTCTGAGCCGGTTCTGCAGGCAGCACAGGTTCTTCTTGAAACTCGGCCATGGTTATTCTTCTTCGTTGGGCGCCGCTATCAGGTTCAGTGTTTCTCCTTACTTGCTTGGGGAACATTGAGGAACCTGACTCGGAACAGGGAGCTTACTAAAGCTATGTTCAATAATTGTGGGAAGTAGACAAGATACACAGGAAGGGTATACGAAACCCTTTATTTTTCACTCTTTACAATAATTTCCGTACTTCGGAATACAGAGACCAACTACTTGTGGTCTGAACGTAAGAATATAAAAAATATTTAACTAAACTCTAACTTAACTTTGGAATAATAAACAAGGGCCTACGTGGAAGATTGGCCGTATATTAACAGGAAGCCGTATGTAGTACAGAGAACTGTTAACACTACAATACGTTTAAAATTATCACGAGGATTAAACCTCTGGCCTGGAAGGCAACCAGCAACCGAGTAAAACTGCTAAGGTAAGCGGCCTGCTTCGACTAACTCCTTCCTCTCTTCTTGCTTGGCAAAAAGCCACAACTTAAGTACTTGGCGTTCGCCAGACAAATTTTGCATAAATAAGTTAAAGTTTTTAATTCTGGTCGGAAGTAGAAAATAAGAAGTGATAGTAAAGATTTAAAATAAAATAAACGTTAGTAAAACTTAAGATCCTTACAAGGTTACTATTTTTAGAATGCAGAAGGGAATTAATTTTCTCTGCTAATTTAATCTTTTACATATTTGGTTTTCTTACACACACACGTATATATATATATATCCTTTACCTGGTCTTTATTTTAGCAATCGTTGTTCGTAGTGTTTTAATCGTAGTGACCGTAGTATTCTACAGAAGTGTTTTGAATGACGAAAATATTCACGTTTTGGAAAAGCCAAATTTAAAAAAAAAATTATCCAATCTCCTCGTTCCTATACTTACCTTTGGGAAAGTTTTACACTTAGTATGAAAATATAAATTTACAAGAGGTTTGACTTCCGTAGAACAAAAAATTCCTAGCGATATCTAATTTCAAAATTTTCAATTTCTTTTTGTCACTTTCTACTTAACTTGAGGGAACCGGTTAATTACGTTAGAATAATTTGTGGAAGTAATTTGAATGAAGTGCAGCAAAAATGTGTATAATTTAATAGGCCGTCCAAGGAAGTCGTCTGGTGTACATCAGATTTTTTTTTCAAGTGATAACATAACATTAACTTTGAACTATAATTTTTCCCTTCTTTTTCGCTCCGTTTTCCTCGAAAGCGAAAATTGTATTCAATTTTATTCTGCAAACCGTACCATTCTGATTTTATGAATGAAAGTTTTCGTAAAAAGAAAAACCGAATTTTCCTAAAGTGAGAGTAACTTGCAACAGCAATTTAAAGCTCAGATACAAACAGTAAGCGAAAACAAGTTTAGAGAAATCAGCTAATAAGTGTACTCGCAAATAACAGTTGCTAATTGACACAAAATCATATTAATATCTTCTTATACTAAATTAATTTGCGTACGTTTGGAATGAAGAATACCGAAAGAATGACAAATAGAGAAAACAGAGGCAAATACAATCTAAAAGGTTTGTTTAAATGTAAACTAACGCACTGGGGGACAATATCAAATTTTGCCTGTTACAGAACTGGTCTGTGCAATCGAAGCCAAACTATTCTCCGCTTTTTCTTAATTAGAAGATTATTTTCTGTAATTTGTTTTTTAACTTCTTATATATAGTACTTCACGTAATATTCGAATAAGAAAAAGCATTTCCTTTAACGAAATTTTATTTTTTATTTTTAATAAAAATTATATTTTCTTTACAGTGGTAACGAAATCTAGCTTATGATAGAATCAATGTTCTATCAAATGATCAAGTAGTAAACATAGTGTTCTCTAACTAATTAATTAGATGTAAATTTTAAACGTAAATTCACGTTGTAGCAAATAATAAGTCTAAACAGTTCGGCAGCTTGTGACTGGCCCCTTAATAACATAAAACTGAAAAAGAAAAAAGAAAAAAAAAAAAAAAAAAAAAAAAAAAAAAATGAGATTATCAGATAAATGAACAGACATCTGGTGTCAATGGTAGTATTGAAAATTATCTTTCGAATTTATCAATTATCAAGCACGAATAATCTGTAAAATGCTACGCCAGCTCTTAGACGTTACCTGAAGAGTGAGGAATTTTAATAAACTCTGAAAAATGCGACGTGTCTCAACAAAAAAGACTGCTGGCCCAGATCAAGGTTTTGGATGGGTGATAGCTCTTATTTGCTTTGCTATTAACTTCATATTGATAGGAGTGGCTCGCAGTGTCGGTATGCTCTATGTTTCTATCATAGAAGAATATCATGTTCCTAGAGAATCCGCCTTGCGGCCTTTTAGCATAAGAGTTGCCATCAAATTTCTAGCAGGTTAGTAACTGCTTATTTTGAGAATTTTTATAAACTTATTTGAATTTAATCCTGATCTGGCAATACGATTAAATATGAAGAGTCGTTGAACATAAAATTGTTCCCCCAAAAAATTTAGTATTCCGAATTTATAAGCAGATACTGATAATTAACTATAATTTCGACATAATAAGGAAATAAGAATTTGCAAGCATCTTTTCTCTTAAGTAAGATATTAATTAGGAAATTTAATTTTTTTTGTTTGAGCAAATTATTCCAAAATATGTTAATCTTTCAGAATAATTTAACTCAGAAATAGTTTTATATCTAACAAGGTTAAAACACTGCCAATCGTAGTATTTTAGTAATGAAATGTAGTTAATTTTAAATTACCTTTATCTTTTCTGACACAGAGTGTAGGAACAGCTATGCCAAATATATCATACGATGCATATATATCATACTATTATATATGCAAATGTATCATACTGTCATAATATGCTAAATGTATCATATATATCATTATTTAAATATATCATACATATCATTATTTAAATATATCATATCATAATATCATTATGCTAAATATACGCTGCGGCAGCGTTAATAGTATGTGTGATTATGGCAAAGCGTCGAGGGCTATCTGCCTAAGGGGAGGGATGCCTTAGTGGAGGACTTTCTAAGGGAAACTGGCTCGTATACACGTTACACATGGGGAAAACCACGAAAACGCCCATGCCCGTTCGCGGGATTCGAACCTCGGACCGAACTACCAGTGTTCAGCGACTTTACCGCTCTAGCGTTCTAGGTGGGCCTCTAGCGTTCATAGTAGGATATTAAAAACACACCTGTTCCGTCTTTTCGGTAGATAGGTGGCGCTCTTGATGCGCCGATGAAAAATATTTCACTTGACGCTTGAACATGAAGAATGACGCATGTCATACCTTTTTTTGATGCTTGATTATGTTTTCATGGCCGCTATAGGCGGAAGTAATATACTAGATCATTAAGTTTATCGCTAATAAATGTTATTTCTATGTTCTGTGAAATCTTGAAGTTTTGATTTGAAATTCTAATGCTCTCCCAACCTTGACTCCTGAAACGAAACAACTTTGAAATTATGACTCATGAGAGAGACACCATACATATTTTGGTGTCTGAAACCCACGAAAAGGGGAATTACCTTTTGAAAGGTAAGAATTTTGATTTATTTGTTCTTGGTATCGATCTTTGAAAACGAAACATAATGGATGATTTAGCAAAAGAGAAAAAAAAACGTGCTATTGTACGTAGTAAAGTTACTACACTTCTAAATAAACTTGAGAAATTATTATCGGAAGAATTAAGTAAAGAACATCTAGAAGATTTAAATTCATCATATGAATTGTTAATCGAATACCATGAGAAACTTAAAAGTCTTGACTCAAAGATCGATGCTCTCATAAATGATGAAAAGGATATGATAACGAACTACTTGTATGTGAAGAGTATGATGAAAAAATTATAACGTTTAAAGCTAAGATTGTTAGTAAAGAAAATTAACAGTAATGAAGTTGTTGAAAGAAGTATAATTACAACTAGTAATGGTATTAGTAGTACTCTGAATGGTAATAATGTTGTTACAAGTAGTGCTTCAGTAAAGTTACCTAAATTAAATATTGAAAAATTTGCTGGTGATCCCAGTAAATGGCTCGAATTCTTTAATTCGTATGATAATGCTATTCATTCTAATCCAAGTTTATCTAAAATAGATAAGTTTACATATTTGAAAAGTTTATTATCTGGTTCAGCATATAATTGTGTTTCTGGTTATGCTTTATCTGAAGAAAATTATGATCTATGTATTAAAAGTTTAGAAGAGAAGTTTGGTCGTAAAGATGTTATTATATCAAAATTCATGCAGATGTTGTTACAGTTAGAACCAGTTAAAAGTTCTTCAAATGTTTTTGAGTTAAGAAAGCTCTATGATCAGTTACAAATCTGCGTTAGAAATTTAAGTAGTTTAGATGTTACTAGCGGTTCATACGGACACGGTTATTGAACCCAATAATTCTTAAATTGTTACCTGAAGATTTTAGCTCTTGAATTCCATAGGAAAAAGAACATCTAACCAAAACATATAGAAGTAAGTGAATTAATAGAGTTCATTAAAATCGAAACTGAATGCCGAGAAGCAAGTATTTTGATTAATAGCTCAAAAGGTAATAAATACACAGGGGTTAATCCTAAACAAGGGTTAAAAAATTATAAAGTCAAATCACAAGCTTCTGCTTTTAACACATCGGTAAAAATGTTTTGCATATTCTGCAAATCAAACGAACATACATCTGCCGGATGTTTGAAATTTTCCGACGAACAAAAACGAAACAAATTAAAAAGGAAGGTCGCTGTTACAGATGCTTTCTAAAATCACATTTGTCATCGAATTGTCGGTCAAAAATACAACCATGCGAAAATTGTAACGAGAAAAATCATAATAAACTTTTCTGCCGTTTGAAATCGAAAGAAATGGAAGATGTTAACTCCGCAGATACGCAAAATAAAACTTTAGTATCTACTTCCCACTGTAACACTCTAAAACCTGAAATAGTGTGCTTTTACAGACATGTTCTGTTATTGCTCAAAGCAAAAATACATCGAGAATCGTAAGATTATTAATTGATTCAGGTAGTGAACGAAACTTCATCACCCACAAGTTAGCGCGCGATTTAGAATTGCAAGTCATTAGAAAAGAATTTCTAACAATTTATTCGTTTGGAAATCAGCGCGGTAACTCGCAAGAATTTGAAGGATATAGTCTAAAAATAAAAAACAAAAACGATGATCGCTGCCTTGTTGTAGAAGCTATCGGGATAGAATTAATATCATCAATAGAATTCCAGGCACCATCAACATGTCAAGACATTAAAGAATTTATGACTAAAAAGGGTTTGGAACTTTCGGATACAAGTCCCGTTAATGAGAACTATAAATATTCTGCTTGGATCGGAGCATTTCTGGTATATACAAAAAGGAAGTAATTCAATGATAAATGATGGTTTGTTTATAGTACCGACGATATTTGGATACACAGTGATGGGTAAAGTAAAAAATAATAATACTCGAATTAATGCGTTGTTTTTATCTACCCGTTGAAGGAAACACATTTGATTTGCAGTCATTTTGGAAATTGGATTCGATTAGATAGGAATTGAAAATGAAAACAAAACATTTTCGGAAACTGATTTGGATACTATTAAGCATTTTAACGACAGTTTAAAATTTAATAACGGCAGGTACGAAACAAAACTCTTTTGGAAGGACAATAAATCACAACTCGCTGATAATTTTTTCGTTGCTAAACAACGATTTCTAGGACTAAAGCATAAATTAAAGGGAAATGATTTCCTATATAATGAATATGATAATATAATTAGAGAACAAGTTGAAAGGGGGATTGTTGAACAATGTAAGTTTGTTGAAAATGAACCTAACTGTTATTATATGCCTCATAGGCCCGTTATACGTGAAGGAAAAGTAACAACAAGAATAAGAATAGTTTATGATGCCTCTTCTAAGTCTGAAAGAGCTAAATCGTTAAATGAATGTTTGATATCAGGCCCTAATTTAAATCCTAAACTGTTGGATATAATTTTAAAATTTCGCGTACATAAAGTTGCATTTTGTGCAGACATAGAGAAGGCTTTTCACCAAATTCAAATTGATAGTGAAGATAGAAATTTTTTTAAGGTTCTTGTGGTTTGATCATTCTTACGACGATAGTGACAATAGTTTAGGCTTTAAGGTTTTCCGAATGTGCCGAGTGCCGTTTTGGAATGACAACAAGTCCGTTTATTTTGTCCGCCACTATCAAACATCATATTAAAAGGGTTATGAAAAGAAATATAGCAAAGCTGTTGACATGTTAAATAAGTCCTTATATGTTGATGACCTTATCCATGGAGCAGACTCCGTTGACGAAGAAGTTTTCTCATTATCAACTGATGCAGTTAAAATTCTTCAAGACGCTGGTATGAACTTAAGAAAATTTGAATCAAATTCCGTATCTTTAAAAAATCATTGGCAAGATATTGGTTTTAATTAATAAGGAAGATAATTTGGATAAGAAAACGTTAAAGGTGCTGGGAATAATTTGGGATTTGGATGAGGACACATTGAAATTAGATGTACAAGAACTTTTACAACCAGTTGACTGGAAACACGTTACGAAGCGAAAGGTATTACAGATTGTGGCAAAAATTTATGACCCAGTTGGATTCATTGCACCTTTTGTTATCAGAATAAAATTCTTATTACAAGAGTTATGGGAATTGGGTATTGATTGGGACACAATTTTGCCCAGCTATTTGAGTGGAAAATTTAAAACTTGGTACTTTGAAATTGAAGTTATTCTCAACTTGTGTATTCCTAGAAAATATATATTAAATGATAAATGTGTAAATTTCGATAAAATAGAGCTTTTTGTCTTTTGTGACGCCAGCCTCAAGGGATATGGAGCTGTTGCATATTTTCGTGATCCTGATTCTTGCTGTACGTCTTTTGTTCTTTCAAAGAGCCGTGTATCCCCACTTAAAAAATTAACCCTTGCCTCGTTTAGAACTTATGGGAGCCATTATTGCCGCAAGAATAGTTAAATATTTAAGGAAATTAGTTTAATATCCAAGAAGATAATGTATTTTGTTTTAGTGACTCTAAAATCGTTCTTCACTGGATCAGGGGTACCGCTAATAAATGGAAACCCTTTGTTGCTAATCGTGTACGTGAAATACAAGATCTTGTATCACCTTCGCAATGGAAATACTGTAAGGGAAATGAAATCCGGCTGACATAGTTTCACGTGGATTAAGAGCTTCTGATCTAGTGGGAAATAAACTTTGGTTCAATGGACCAGTGTGGTTAAAAGAGAAAAATCTACCTTCATCATCTTTTGATCTTTTGATTGAGCCTATGGAGAAGAGGTACAGGTAGAACAGCGTCAAACTACTGTATGTTCTGTTATTAGCCAAGAGGCTGAATTTGAA